CGAGAAGGCTAGGTGTAGATCTTTCCTACCAGAAGATCAGGGGTGTGGCTGAAAGACAGCAGTAAGAAGGAGCCAAGGAGTAGCAGTAGAAAGGCTGCAAAAAGAGTCAGGAGCCTAGTGGAGGGGACAAAGGAGGTGAGGGGGTGGGGGACATTGTTAGAGAGCAGGAAAGGATGTGAAAGGAAGAAAATTTTCCGTCGGTATTCAGATTCAAACCCAGGACCTATTGAATGAAAGGTGAATACCTTAACCTCTAGGCCATGAGAACCCCTAAACCAAAGATGTATATGTAAAGAAGGGAAAAAAACAAGAAAACTACATAAAACATTTATGGGCAGTAAGTTTGCTGATAGGACTGTAGTGAAAGTCAAGTCAAATATTTAAAAAAACTTTACACTGAGAATGAACCCCCCAAAAAAATGCACTGCCAACATTCATATCATGAAATGACATCCCAAGCTCTCTTAAAATGCACAGGGAATGACACTTCAGGGTCGATGTATAGATTTTTTTTCAAAGCTAGAAAAGGGAGCAATAATAAACCAGCAAAAAATTTTGAATGACACTCACTGGGCACCTTACATAAATATCCATACTGACACAGGTATGATAATTTGTTGAACGCAGGACGCCGATATTTTAACAAATAACAATGAGTTTATAATAATAGCTCTATTCAACTTATCACATAAAATTCTGTTCCCATTTCTCCCACTTTTTTCACGCATCAACTTTCTTAAAAGAACACAAAACTACCAAAACCCCTGCGCTCATACGACCTTAAACAGTTGCAAACACCGTTAGACACTTCCTTACTTTACCAAAGCCCTTATACTAATAACAAATCAGAATAATGCTATACATTGTTGAGATATCCTCACCTGAATTGCAGGAGCAAGAACTTTCTTGGCTGGCTTCACCACGTCCTCTGCCGGTCTCTTTGGGATCTGAGGTACCCCCTGTTTGTAGCAACAAAAAAAGGATGAAATTGAAGTTCAGCAAACATGTTGGTCTGTTCCTCTTGTTTGTCTTAGATGAAATTTAGTTTCCTACACTGCTGACAAGGCAAGTTGATCATGTCATCTTTGATCTGATACCTCAGTCGTTAGGACTTGAAACTATTCATCGTTTATTTGTCACTGGTCAAAGAACAAAGTTTAAAACCTTAAAAGAAGAGTAATGCATGGAAAAGAACACGTTCGAAGTGCAGCACTTGACCCCCCAGGAAGTCTAGCTTCCCAAATATTTAAACTATGCAGTGCTTATAGTTAAAGGCCATCACATGTCAATTTTGATTCTAATAAGTGTTTAAACCAAGAATTTTGAAAAACTTTCCCACTGAAGACTAAAGAACAGTAAGTCGTTTAAACTGAGTATAAAAAACTCCCCCAAAAAGGACTAAATAGTAGCAAGTTCTTTTAACTAAGTATGAAAAAAAACTCCCTTACTATGGACAAAAGAATAGTAAGTTCTTTTAACAAAGTATAAAAAAAACTCCCTTACTATGGACTACAGAATAGTAAGTTGTTTAAACTAAGCGAAAAAAACCCAAAAGGATTAAAGAACAGTAAGTTGTTTCCACTAAGAGTAAAACACTAAAGGACTAAAGAATAGCAAGCTGTTCCCTCACATTATTGCGCCTCCTGACTTGGGCGACCCCGCCGTCGTTGTTGACGTTGTTGACGTTGTTAATGTTGATGTTGCTGATGACGTCCCTCCTCTTCACGTTGCCGGCATTGAGCCGCAGGTCTTCCACAGCGGAGGCCGGCACCAGAAACAGTGACAAGCTCACCAGCGACAGCAGCATCACGGCTCGCCATGGTGTGGGTGAAGATAGGGAGGAGGACAACGCGCTGCGGCTAGATCTAGACAGCAACGAGGAGCAGAAGGGGGAGACAAGCGTCGAGGAGGAAGGACGGTATTCTTCTGGGCGGCGGGGAAGAAGGGGGGATAACTCACGTCTACCCGTCATTGTGATATACTAGTTATGCTCTCCCTTGTATAAACACTGGTGGTTGTTGCTCTGAAATGCAAGAAATGAGAACCCATGTTATTATTAATTTATTAAATAAAATAATTGAAATCACGACTGTGAGATAGTGTAAAATTGAGTGGATGGGTTTAGTTTTAGTAAGAGTTTTATGGCACTTGCAACACAATAGGGTCATTTAAGTGCCGATGATGAGAGGTATTACAAGAGAGCAACAAACAGATAGATTTTTTAATGGGAAAGAAGGAGCAAACCACACCAGAGCACTCGCCAA